GGTAAAACAGAGCCAGAGAGCCATTATGAAAAGGTTTATTTTTCCCCCAAAGGGCCTTTAAAGGATGTCAATCAGAAGAGCGACTTCGTGGTTAATTGAACCATGTAGGACAGATGATCGAACAGAGGTTAATATCTTTGGCTTTAATTAGACATTTGAAATGCCAGATAGCATTTTTGTACAACAGTCACATCTTGACCACTGTTTCTCAGATGCCTTGTGCGAGTTTCGGGATCACAGGTACAAAGACACCAAATCACATCCGATAAAGAGCCCTCCACGAACAATTTCAGCGAGTTCTGTTATCTCAAAAATCACTCAGATGCTAGTTATAAGTCTACTAGTAACAGAACAGTGACAGTTGAAAATTATGAAGCCTTGCTGTATGTTTGTAACAGAAGTATATGAAGATCAAAGTAGCAAAGGACTAGTATGTTTGCTCACTATGGAACAATGTACCCTAATAATTGACGCGAAATCGCAAAAGTTCCTTGAGAAAAAAACGAACTTCCCTCTCAACCTTGCTGTGAAACGCTCGTAAGTTGCTATTTATACGGGTAGTAAGTGGTTCTCAAGTATAGAATGAAAGTTATAAAACATTAATGTATTAAAATGTTCATGGGTGTGTTGCTCTAAAATATGTTTTGAGTGGTTACTGGCTTAGTCCCCACCTGACTCTCTCGGTATTTTGTACATGACGTCTGACGCCTGTCGTCTTGAACCACGGATGCTGGTAATCGACGGATCGTGTAACTTCTGACACCTCTGCCTGCTTGGACCGATTAGGCGTTTTATTACGTGATGTGTTTTTGATGGGACTCCTGGGAATTTCCGACTAGACGAGGAAGTGAGATGCTCCACCACAAAAGATTTCCTGGCGATCGAAACAAGAAACCGACCGGGGAAGAGATTGTCACCTGTGGCGGTCATTTTTCACCTCACCTCAAGACCATAAATCTAACTTGACTTGAGTTCGTCGAGAGGAAAGGAGACGAAACACAGCACAAAGCGATCTTGCTTCCACAAACAAAGATGTATCGTATTTCTATGGAGCTGAGCATCGACAGGGATTATAGTTCGGAATCGGTAAAATGCATCCGTGGTCAAGGGGATAATACACGTACATGTATAAGGTATTTTCGGTTACCTAAAACTTTATAATGTTCAAGCTATACTCGTCTAAATCCCGTCTGTGTATCTTTGGTATGCGAATCATCATATTGATGGATCGTTGACGGCGCCCTCAACGTAAGTAGGTGCGGTACTCACGGACAGCATTATCTTACAGGAGAATTCTAGAAAATAAGGGGAAAATGGATGATCGTCTTAGCAGAGACTGCAGAGCAGTAGGGAACGAAGAGACAGATGGTCCAGACTGTGGTGCGAAGAGATAAAAATAGTGCCATACATCATTCACACCTCTCCAAGTAACCGTATCCTCCACCTACCCTGCCATCACCGTTGGGAACGTGTCAAACATGATGACACATCGGCAAATACACGGGCACTTCATCGTGTCAGATCTCATCAGGAATTTCGCGCCAGGGGACGGGCATAAAGGGCTGGACGGGCAGCGGACACCGGCCTTTACCCGGTGATTCAACCGGGCACTCCCGGTCACAGACACCGTCCGGGCTCGTCCCTTTATCTCGCTCCAGGCCCTGCGGTGCCTGTCCTCGTGGTGAAACGGCTCTGGCCGATGCCCGTTGGGGCACCTACGCTGTAGGTCCCTTCGTCTTTCCCAGACGACTTTTGAGCCCCTGAACGGCACAGGTGTCTTGCCGTATACCGCCTGATGAGAGACCCACAGATAAGTGGTTCTTATGAGCTTTTATGAAATTCCGATGCGATGGATTGGGAGAGTAATGAAAAGTAAAGGCCGGCTTCTGCAATGACGGAGGTGTGAAATATTTCATTGAATCGTATCATAGCAACGGACCGACCCGCGTAAAATGCACTTTTAGGGGTCAGGAAAATAATATTAAAAGATTAAGGGAGCAAGGACCCATCGGCTATCGAACTTTGGAGAGCTTCTGTCAGCGTGGTTGGGCAATAGATGATCCAGAATTCAAGGCTTCTCCGAGTGAAATCCAATGAATCAGCTGTGCTTGCTTGGGGCCTGTATTTTTAAGTACATGTACGTCTCTTAACTAGTAATTTTCCCGACTTATCCCAGTCCCAATTGTTTATTAGATTTAAATATGAGGCAGATACAGCTGCACCATTCTCTTCACGATGTCAAAATGCACCCACCTCTTATTTTTAGCTCCAGATAGTTATCTCTGCCAGGCTCTTAAGCGGAGCTCCTTCCAAAGAAGCACCTGGCAGCAGGCCGGGAGAAAACCCCGTAGTGCCATCAAGTGTCCATTTTCAAAGAAGCATATCTCTTAAAAGTTCGCTTTTTGAAGTGTAAGTTTTTAAAATTCGTTTTACGAGATACGTGTATGTTTGTACAAAGTTTGCTAGTACAAGATAATTCTCCAATTCGTTTTTATGACATTTATTTTTTCAGAAATATCGTTTCTAGTTTGGAAACAAATAGTATTTTGAGAAATATGTTTCATTAAGTTTGTCTTTTTGATATATAATTTTCCAAGTAAGTTATATTTTCATGAAATATTTATTTCCAAGTTTGATTTTATAACTCATACAAACAAACTTGAAACTATAAACTAATTAAAACAAACTACCAAAAATATATCGCATGAATCGAACTTGAAGATCACCCCAAGGAGGCCCTGCTTTCGTTTTCCATAAACTTGAAATATGGTCTTCCTGTGACAACCTCTTGATCACTCTTTTCTGGATCGCCTCTGTGAAATAAATGGGACCATTGCTGAGGAACGCGACACTCTCGTTCTACTCAACGTTGTGTGGATCCGCTTGATTCCTAGGTATCCTGAAAGCTCCGATTAATCTCAGACAGTACTTCGAATTCGTCGATAAGCTATTGCCATAAAGCAGGTCGGGGACCAAACCACAATCTAGCGACGTCCCTGGTTTCTGATTATGTCGCTTGTTCAAGTGGCAATGGCGTCATTTTTATCAGGGTAATGATAATGATGTAATTTTCCCGCGAGATTTTGGGAAACTTATTTCCGATCACTATTTTGGAAAATCGCCACGGTAACCATAACATTTGCCACGGTGAATCGATGGAGATTTTTAATGGCAACGTTTTCCTGCATAAAGCAAACTTCGGCAAAGCTAGCTCTAGTTCTTTTCGTGTAAACGTGTTCATCGGCAGAATTGGACTCGCCTACCCATCAAATTCAACACATCCAGTGCAAGATTTGGTTCAAAAATCTCCTTGATCTGCTTTTAGAGGTACCATATGAAAGGGAAGTTTCATGTAGACCTGGTTAGCATGTTTCCTGCAAATTTGATCAGTCAGAGCGATTTTAATTGAAGTTTTTAGCCGATAAAGAGATCGATGTCATCTGCGAACCGTGATCTAAAGAACGTTTAAAAATTACGTCATCGTTGCACAGTCGAGCGGCGTATTATAGTCTGGCGTCGTCGCTAGATTGTGCTTTGGTCCCCTGATAAATGATCGCTCAGTGATGAATTCATTTGACTGAATCGGACTTGCGCAAGTGAATGATCACTTAGCAATTTCAGTTTGAATGACCGTAGCTCAGAATTAAATTGCTGTATGTTCCCGATCTCTTACATAAAACTTAATATCGTATGCTCTGTTGAAGTCATTCACATTGCGCTAAAATTGTTGAATATGAAAAATGGCCAATATGTCTGACCGTGACAAAGACTGACACATCAAGACATCCAGAAATGAAAAAATCAAGACATCAAGATGATGTTGGGGAAGTGATTTGGAAGAGAGAACTCTAACCTGCCTCAACCAACGAATGCTCATCGCCAATTTCTCGAGACATCGAGATATCAAGACATCGGGACATCATAACATTGGGGCATCGGGAAATCAGGACATCAAGACACCGAGCTAGACACGGATATGAAGACATCAGAACATTGAACATCAAGAATGAAGATACTGGACATCAGGGCATCGAGATATCGGGGGAAACGTCAGAGGAAGGAGGTCAGTCCCAACCGACACCTCGGCACCCAATTTTCCAAGACGTCCAGATATCAAGATACAGGTGGTAATGTGCGAGGGGTGAAGGAAGCAACTTACAAGGAAGAACTTGTCACTTTCGGCTTGCAAAGAATGACACCCCTTGGACTGTAGGGCATCAGGACATCGGGACATCAAAACGTAAGGATGGAACATCAACATACTGAAACACAAAGTCGTCTGGACGTCAAGACATTGAAACCTCAGGACACCAAGACAACAGGAATTTGAAACTTCAAGACACTAGGACATCAAGAAATCGAAATGTCAGTGGAAAATAGAGGATGGAAGTGATTTGAAATTGAACTTCAGTTATGGCCTCAACCAACCAAACTTTCGCACCAAATTTCCAGATATATCAAGACGTCCGTTTGCACAGCTCAGTGCTCGAGAAGGTTACTTTGTAAAATGTAGATTAGTGGTTCGATTTCTGCCTGGACAATCTTTGTTGCAATCATATTTATCCAAAGTGTCGGGAAGCTTTTTTATTATTTTTTTTTATTTTATACAAACGCTTGGTACAATATAGAGGGCGCAATACAATACAGCGTATATCGCAATTTGCGAGTTGTAAAATTGTACACAAATAAAAGGAAGAGATTGGGTGGACCGGACACAGTAACGCCAACTTATACAAAAGATACAGAATGCAGCTTTTATGCAAATTGTCCATGTGCATAGACCCATAATCTATCACGTGTACAACGTGAACATTTTTATTTGATTGATATTTGATAGAAACCAAATAAATGCAGGATGACTGTTCCACAGTTACACCCGGAATGTTGCTCAGAAGAATGTTTCATGGACAAACAAAGACGGGAACGGTATGTGGGACATCATGCCTTCAGTGAATGACTTAAGCCCCAGTAAACGAGTCCAGCCAATCACAAACACGGAATTCATGACCCCATACAGCACCAACACTTCAATTTTATTGTTTCAATGCATGTTGAGCATCTCATACAGAAATCAGGTGCAAAGTGATACATGTATATGATCAATTCCGACAAACGTCAAACGCTTTTCAAATTCACTTAATCAATGACAGCAAACAACGGTAATCTTCACAACACACAACCAATGCCCGTTCTACCTCCAAGCAGAAAGTATAATCTTGATAGTACCAGACCTCACCACAAAATACACTTCTGTATACAAACAAAACGTGGTACATTTTATTTACACAATAGCATTAAGTATTATATCCAACAGTAATATACAGGTACGTAATATTTATATTTATTTGTATACTCTACTTTTTAAAAGATTCTTATGACTCATTATACAGGACTTAATTATGAAAGACAAATATACATGAATATAATTTTGTCAGTACTTTAAAACTCAACATAAAAGACGCACAAACACGTTTAGAGATATACACAAGCAATTGAGTTTTTTTTGCCTCAAAATTTAGGCAAGAGAAAAATCTTCAATCGACATATCTGTTTTAACACAACATGAAGTTTGTTCTGTCAGTCAGTATGTTCGTCTGTCACTGCGTACGTCAAGAACTAAACAAAATGAACTGTCAATAAGCAACAGAACGTACAGTTGAGAATATGTCAAAAGAAAACAGCTAATGGTAAATGATGTATAATATGGCTATGGTATAATATGGCCTGACAGACAAAACAGAAACAGAAAGTGAGACGAACAAACAGACCACTGAGAAACGAACACGACATGGTTGCAGTCATAGCCGTCAATGTGAATGTTAATTCTTGCGTGCTTTGGGGTTCGCGCCTTTAAGTCACGTCGCTGCTCATGAAGGTCATTCGTTTGTACCTCCTCCCATGTTGGACCAATCATGAAGGATTTTGCGTAATGCTGATTTTTGTCTGTCCATCCGTCCGTCCGTCCGTCCGTCCTTTGGTTACCTCCTTTTTGTCAGTAACGTGCGCGTTTTTGCGTTTTGTTTTTGTCTACATTCTTTCGTGCTCTGAGTGTCATATGTTTAGTCCTAAATCTGACAGGTATTCGTCTCAGTTGTGTCAGTTCGTCAGTCCTGTTGTCTCGCGGTCTAGCTGTCGACCTATTTTGGGATTGTTCACATCATGTATGGCCGGGTTTATCCCGAAAACGATATCAATACATGCGCGTCCAACATTCTTTAAGTCATCCAATTTGTAGAGAAGACAAAAAAATCAGTCGATTAAAACTAACAAACCAAACAAACAACAACAACAAACATTCCAACAACACTTTGAGCAAAAATGTTGACAGCGATTTTCGTCATCCACCCAAAGTTGTTCATGAAACAGTCGTTCGTGTTAAACCATCTTTGCGTGCATCGCTACGCTGTTTCAGGCTTTGGATGCGACTGGCTATAACACACGCTTCAATGGGAATTGCCGCTAGCCGCAAGCCAGTGGCTTCCTGATATGCGCGTGCGTATTTGCCGTCTGCAAATTTATATCCACCTCCGCAACGCGAAAATAGGTCCGAGTATTTCTTGAAAATGTCTTCCAAAGTGCTCTCGAAAGAATCTTTTTTGTTTCAAAAGTGGCCCATCTGAAACGAATGTGTTGTTTAATACTGCTATAAGTAATACTATTAAGATTTACCATAGAAATGAAAAATTAATGAGAAGTTCGCGCATAGGTATACTGTATAAGTATGTTAGTCAGTTATACAGAAAGCAGCCGACTTTTGGCGCAACAATGTGCAAGACAACTTTCGGACTAACGGCAACTTTCTTCAAGCTGGAAAGGAGTGGTGAAAGTGGAAAAACACACCTAATTCTATCGCATAATGTTGTTCCTGATATTGTGCACTTGGACAGATAATGTGTAGGAGACTCCGGTGAAAACAGTGAGTAGAGCAACTTCGTTTCGTTGTATTGTGTTCCGTAGTGAGGTATGGACTGAGGGGCTCATTTCCGAGCTGTGTAAACTTAAGAAATGTTAAGGGAACGCTACTTCCAAGAATAATGATACTTTAGCACACAAAGACTTGAAAAATTTCGTTCCCAGGTCGTAGCATACAGAGTCTATAGCTGCAGGGAGTTGCGTAATGTTGAATTTTCTAACAGGTTTTTGGTATATATTTCTCACTTCTGTTCAAAAGTAGTCGCGTTTGTGTAATTTATCATGATTATTTCCATAGAAAATAGCCTAGCCTAACTTTTTCCCCAGCCCCTTCAAGTTCAAATGTCGTCGTATCCGAAGCTCACTAAACGGAGTGGAGGGCTCCAATATATGTAGGTCTAGGCACAATGTACATGTACATGCGCCTGCCCATTTTTGGATCTATAGTTTCGAGAGTAGTGGGATGGCTACAGCATTTTTTCCAAGTGTGTCCATTTTTTTGCAACGTGGCTGTGGTTTAAATTTAACAGCCTCTGTTTTCATGTTGGACCAACCTCAATCCTCTACAGAAACTACAGTGTTACGGTGTTGTCAGCATGACAACCATGATGCATTAACTAGTATATCTGTGGTCATGACGAGCCAAGGCCTACATGTATGCTAAAAGGTTTTACAGAGGAAACTGCACGCTAATTATGCAAATGATGAACATTGTCAGTATCGTGTACAATCACATAAAAACCACAAAGAAATCTGTCAAACACATCTGATTACTCTCTTGGTACAATGGAGTAAAAACAAAGGGCTGATATTTTAGAGGACAAAGTGAATCTATAACTGTGGGGGGCCAAAGCGGTGAAAAACTAATTCATAACATCCTGTAATCCAAATTTGGTTAGAACAGTACATGACAGTGTAGTAGCCAAGTAGAATATGAGAAAAAACATAGCTTAAGGTAGCTTAAGATAATCATAATCTCACGTCTGTTCTAAGGTGTGGTCCATCAACACATATCTGACCCCTCTTTGGCAGTTAGTCACCTGTAAAAAGTAGACTTAAAATTAAAATATGATGATGTAACAACAAAGAAATATTCAAAGTATACATGTGCATTGATGCACATAGTGGCGTTAAGTATTGTTGCAGTTAGGCTTTTTGTTACAATAGAATGTGAAGTAATAGCCTCTTCTTGAACTGCTTCCTGTCAGTGAATTACATGTAACTCAACGCTGCAGTCAGCAGCAAAACTCAATTTACAACATTTACTAAGCATGTCTGCTCATCAAGGATGTCGATCCTTATTGTACAAATAATTTACCCAAATACAAATTACATATGAGGCACCAAAAATCTGTACTTAGTACATTACACTTGCCTAGGAGAATACGTGGGATTTTGAGGTCCTCTAGAATTATATATGTCAAGTCTCATTGGTCATTACCAACCGCCATAAAGACACACATAGGTCTACAGGCAGCAGAGACTATCCATGGTCAAAGGAGACCACAGTATTTATGCTTTGTTGCAAAGTTGGACTGCTACTGGAGAAATTTTCCGCTGTTCAGCAGATTACCAGTAAAAGTAAAGATACACATAAAAGCAATCAGCAAGTGTAGAAAATGACCAAAATGCATGTAATGTAACAATGATAAGAATAAGAACTTCAAGAAATATATCAATTCAAAATGGAGTCTGGAAATCGATAGCATCCTTCAAATATTTAGGAGAACATATGAGACTGTTGGTGAAACAGAATTATCACATCACAAATCCCACAGTGGCCACATCGGTGGCAGGGAAATCCAATCTGGTCAGTAGTACATGTAAAACCTTAACGGTTCTTTTGGAAAGAAGTTGAATTGTTATTTCCTACATTTGCTACAAATGGTCTCCTTTTCCTAAGCCTGATTGTCACTGACTTACCCTGGTATTCCTATGGCGTATTTATGTGAATATATATATATACAGATTTTGAACAAGTCCTATACAGTCAAATATGGCATGGTGGACCTCCAGTTCCTTCTAGAGGAATGATACTGCTTGCAGTACTTGTAAATCAATTCTTAATATTTAATTTTTTTGTACAGTAGATACTTTACACATTATTTACATCTGCTTATAAAACCCAGTCTATTGGGAAATAGTAACACTTTTCAAGGGTATCCCATTGTTAAAAAGCTTGTCAGACAAGCAAAATCCAGCAAAACGGTGGTGAGATTTCTCGCACTGATTGTTGAAGGTTTCCACACAATGAAAAATTGTACACTTAAAATTGTAAAAAAAAGAAAAAGAAAAGAGAATTGAAAGTAGGAGCTTTTGGGTGCCAGAAAAGTATCCCTCCTTTGTCTTTGACAAGGTAGAAAAAAAAAGACTCATGTATTGGACAGGATGGGTTCTTTGCATGAAATTGCAAAGAAACTTTGCATAAAGTTTTCTCATAGTTGGGAAAAAGTATTGTAGCTGACTGATGAGTTCCATCAATAAACAGGCTGTTTTCGTACCAAGACAAAGTAAATGTACATGTTCTTATTAAGAAACTGTGCCAAGTAAGTGAATCCATTAACAAGAAATTATTGACAAAGCGTGCCTTTTCAGGAAGACTACAAATTACAATGCTTGCACAGCAAAAACATGTCATTTACTGTATTTACGTAAAACAGTGCCAGTAGATATGCAGTGACATGAAACACACAGAAATGAAATACAAACGTATGATACCTAACATGTGAAGTAGAGCATGTTGAACCAAACCTGTTTATAACTGCCACCGTTCCTTCGTAAATCGTTGTAATAGGTGAGGTGCTGCAGCATGATGCTGTTTTCACCCAACAGAGTTAAAAAAAAAAGTGTTACTCAGATTATATTTGCTGGATGTCATGAATCACTCTGACTAACCTTGGTATGGAGGCTGATGGATCTGAGAGGTTTGAATAGTTTTATTGCAGCCGCCAGCAGCATTTGATTTAGTTGGTATGAGTGCAGCCCTTCAAAAACTTAGTTTAAATATAATCTTGAATGTCTTTTCATATTCAACACTTCTGGAGCAGGTCCTCCTAATGCTTAGGTTAATTTGCAGCCTGTTCACTCAAATCATAAACCCAGTTGTGGGGATTCTTGATATTAGAGCATACATGGGGGAGGGGTTTGCAAAAAAGTTTGGCATGCTTTCTGTGATGAATCTTGCCATGCTGTTAGATCGTCTTTGCAATCATGTCAAGAATGGATTTCTCCCAAAGGACGTAATTTTTGATCCATACGTGTATATTTCAATGAAAATAAAGTCATAAGATTTTTGAAAACACTTTTTAACATAAATTGGATGATTGAGTCTCCTGGGATTTATTCCAGCCCTGATAATTGGCCTTCCAGTTATTAACTGAAAAGCACAGATGGAACAAGTTGTGATGGAAAATATTAAACTACACGCTGTGCTTCATAGGAAAATCTGAAGTTGCTACATCATGGGCCACTTGTTCCTCTTATTTGTAGGCACACTTCTCTGTCAGGGGCACTTTTGTCTGGAAACACACCTTGTTGGCCAAAGGTCTGCTTTGTCGGTCTACATAGTAAAAAAATACCACTGCTTAGAATGAAACTTTAATTTTTCCCCCTAAAAACGCTTCTCTTTGCTTACATACAGTTGCTGGTTGTTACATTGAAAATTTCAGTGCTGGAGCCTCATACAATGGTTTCTGTCTCACATTCATTCAGTGGCCTGTTCAGTGTAATGTCTGTGTCACTAAACCTCTTCTTATTTGGCTCTTCAAAGTGCACACATGTCTCATGTGTCTGAAACTTCAGCCCATTGGTGTTCGTCAACTCTGATCGGATCATCTCCTGCTCAGCTGTTGACTCAGGTATTTTACTCTCAGACACACAGTTTTGCATGTTGCTGTCAAACTTTTTACGATCAGAAGGATTGACGGCTGACTGTGGTCTGTTCAGGGCGGTCACACGAGAGGAGCAGCTTTTCGTTCCTGCAGATCGGGTCTCAGGGATGGCATCGATTCTCTTGCCGCTGCCACTGAAGCTGTCTCGGTCATTAACACCTTGCATACTCAGAAACTTTGAGGTCCTTCGCTCATAAGCATCGTCTTGATCTGCGTAGTTCACCTTCAGGGGCTTTTCACGTCTGTAATTCTCATCTTGCCCAACCAACCAGTAGGTCAGCAGCTCACCTTTCCCCTTCATACTCACAAGGCCCCTTTCTTCTATTGTGTAGCCACCAATTTTATCAAGGTTCTCCTTAATTTCCTTACTGCAGTGAATCTTAAGAGCTGAAATATAATTACAGGAACAGATGAAACTCTTCAGAAATAAAATACAACTGCACAGTATTTGACCTTATTTTACACCCACATCATGTGCGTGAAACTTGACAGAATCAGCTTGAGTTAATAGTGCGTGCATGTTCAACTTTAGAGCAGATAAGATATACAATTTTCAACTTACGTAAACCATTGGACTCCATTCTTGATGTTGTGTTTACTGTGTCTCCAAACAGACAGTAGCGAGGCATTGCAGTGCCAACCACTCCTGCCACTACCGGACCTGAAAAAATACAACAAACGTCCATGGTTTTCTTTCTTCTGCAACCAAGCTGATACATTAGATGTGTTTTTACAAGCAGGATTAAAGGTTTGCAAGATTTCGGGATGTCAGAATTGGGTGCTGCTACATATAAACTTTTATTTTTACACCTCTGTTTTCAACCCTGAGCAATGCATATAGCACCTCAATAGGAGTCTAGCCTACTGAATGCCTTAAAATTCAACACCTAGTGTGAACCAAAGTGACTTACTTGCTGCTCATATTGGATTTACCACGGCTCGATTGAGGACCCAGAAGGGAGAATGAAGGCCCTCACCTCCGGCTCCGCCAATACACAAAACAGACGACTCGGCCCCCTTTAGCTATTTCAGTGAACATTCCAAGTGCGCATGTCTACCCTGCAGTTCTTGTGCTCATACAACATGTATATGCTGCAGCATGAGGATCACAGGCTAAGTCAAGACTCAGGACTCCAACAGATTAAGTCAAACTCCTATCCGACCGAAACTTCCACAGCAATCTTAACCTACCAGAGTGCAGTCCTATCCTGAGCTTCAGCCGATCATCTGGTCTGTGTCGAATCTCAAAATGCTGTACAGCATCCAGCAGGTGGATGGCCGTGGAGGCAATCTCTCCAGAGTGCCTGCTATTGTGAATGGGAAGGCCAGACACCAGCATGTATGCATCTCCGATGGTCTCAACCTTGTACACATCATAGTAGCTGACGATGGCATCAAATAGTGAATACAGGTCATTCAGCATATCCACAATCTGCGAGATGGAATGAAAAATGGGCAAAAAAGTTTCATTTTTTAACTTAATAGATAACATAGCGTTTCTTATTTTTTGTCTGTTTCAGTTCCATGTACTTTCATATAATTTGCTACTTTTTTATTCTTTACATGGTTGTGTCATTTGTTATCATTTTATGAATATGCAAATACATGTGTAAATGTGAAATGTGTTGAAATTGAATTGAAATACAGTGACAACATCTGCAGCAGAGTAAAATACAAAGTATGAAGATTCAGTAAAATACAAGCACATGTATGTACGTTTACATGTACCAGTATTTATTACCATGCAAAGAAAGCAGATGAGTATAGCTAGTTCATTTGAATTAGGGGTGGGGGGAGAGATTTCTCCTTGTCTATCCACTCCAAGTGGGAACAAAACAGGGCGTGTTTTGAAATGAAATTAACAGTCCCTTGATATGCACTCACTGCATAGGCGTGCGAGTTTATGCACATTTGACGTGAAGCACGCTGAGTACGCGCAACAAATTTAGCCTGGAATGTATGGTCTTTGCGTGTACACTGAACGCGTGCAAGAACCTGGAGGAAAACTTAGTACCATCTGTTTTTCTTTTGCCAGTGAGTGTGCACTTAAGCTCAGGGGGGATAGTCACAAACTTCTCTAGCCTGGAACCACTGAAAATGGAGGGTACAGCTCATATACATGTATAGATGTATGCAAGTCATATGCTACATTCACTTCTGATTACCATCAATCATAATATTGCGATGGTCTTAAAAGTTCTAGAAAGGCATTGCATTTAATGTTACAACCATCAATTTAAATACCAAACCAGGTCTCAGTAGTCTGTGACTGCTGATACGACAAATACACATGATCTGATTTTGCATAGCGAGGTTGGGTGGTGTCAGTAGGAGGTGACTATGGAGGATGTGAATTTGTGATCTTAAATTAGTGTGGGTGACATTCATATCCTGCAAATGCTATGTTTATATAGTGTATTGCAAAATGACTGCACGCTCTCACCTGGAAAGGGGTGCTCTGTGATGACAGAGCAGTGAAGCCGACGATGTCACTGAAGAATATTGAGACCGAGTCAAATGACTCAGGCACGACCTGTCGACCTCGCTTGAGTTGATTTGCAACAGGCCTGTGGATACAAATTTCACATGGATTTTTTTACTGTTATTGTGGTCTCAGCAAGAAGTTGGCACTGCATGTGGCACTGAGTATGCACAAGGGCAATGTCCCAAGAAAAAGTGGAAAAAGTTCCAACAGAGTCTTTAGAACTACAAACATCACTACGACAAATTAAAAGAACAAGACCTTTCACTTGTGTAGTGTGTCAATGAGTGAATTCAGTTGAATGTGGTTTTTTTTTGTCAAAAACTTGTTTTGGGGAGGCTAAATCAAGGATTTCTGGTACTCATTTGGAACCTTGCTTTGACATGCTCACCATGAGTGTTATTTTATTTTTTTTTCCTCATAAAGTCAAAGAGTGAGGTTCCTATTCTTTGGTAGTAGAGCTTTTTTGTTCATTAGAACTACAAAATGTGCCAAAGATGGCTGTGCAAACTACCTGCAGTGTAAACAACCAGGATTTTGGGGCAACACTGATGAGAGAAATGAAGCAAAACCTTGTTAGGTTGACAAAATAAAACTTAATTTGGCTGAGAGACTGTATCAACAGGAATTCACCTACAAGAAGAAAAGCTTTAGCTGCTTTCCAAGCACTTGTAGAAAAAACAACAACGACCTTCTGCTTGGTAGTGCAAACGTCTTATCACTCGACCACTGAGCTAGTCAAGGTCTCATTGTTGGTTTACAGTGACATGACAGTTAGCATTGCGGTTAACAGTTCAGTGGTGTCAGCATGTTGTCAGTGTGTTAAGTTTTTGTCACTATGACCAAAAAACCAACAGGTCGACTGCTGTCAGTGTGAAAATCTTGTCTTTTGTCACTGTGAGTCTCTAAATTTCTTGCCAATACCTTGTCAGTATGACAGTGTTCTCTTGAATACTGAACTGGCTTACTTTGTTAAAGTACGTGTTACAGCACTCTTTGTTTGTTTCCTTTTGCAGCATAAAACCATTCATGTCTTAATATAATGCGCTGTGAATCGAGGACTGCAGAGATATATGGCATGCATCAGTGCAGTATCACATTCGAAATTTAAGGCTGGACTTTTCTCCTTTCACAGTTGTGTTGAATTACTTTTTGGACAGTATAATGACTGCATTTTTTTTTTAAAGAATTGGTCACATGGAAATTCGTGCATATTGTAACTGGCTGCATTGTGAGGCTGAATGAAGGTAAGTTTGCATGCAGAATTTCCATGATGTGGTTTTCGTGTACACGTGTCAACTTCCAGTTGCAGCCATGAAATTACAGTTGATTACTGACTTCTTGACAAGACTCCTTCCCGCAGTAGCTCTGTGGTACAAATCATTGGCTGGGGGAGGGGGTTAGAAAAATCCCTCCTTCAATGTAGGTGATTTACAGGCAGAGGAAGTGACGAAAGGAGGACCAGTGGACCTTCCTCACTTTTTACAGGCCATATAATGGGATGGGGCTTAACGTATTAGCCTATTAATGGCTGGTGCCTGAGGGTCTCACAACTGGCCCCCTCCCCACTTCAAAATCACGTAGCAGTCACAGTAAGCAGAGGCCTACCATTATCTTCACACAACAAACTTACATAGGCAGCATTTGGTGCAGCAAGTTATCAGTCTTCTTCTTCTCCTCAATGAGTTGTTGGGTTCGGTCCTCCACAATCCCCTCCAAGTTATTGGCATACTTCTCCATGATTGCTATCATGTTATCTAAGATATTTGACTTCCTGAGAATTACAACAAAAGAAGACGGAGCCCCAATTTAGCTGCTAAAGATCACGTCCAAATATCCAAAAGTATACCTGAGTAGTGGCGTTAAAAATCTTTCCTTGGGAGTGACGACAGTCCATTTCAGTTATTGATGTTGGTCGCTTCTTGTTACTATAATAACCACTACTTGAATCCCATTTACTTTTAACTTTACCTGTAGTTGCACTCGCACATTTCTGTTTCCATTATCCCTGATAAGTGTTATAAATTCTTATTAAACAACATAACTACCCAATATCTTCAGTTCTATTGTAGAGTTTAATTACATAATCCCAGCATCCGTCCTAAGAGTGCACCCCCAGGGGACTCTGCTATGGGTGTAACAATTAACCAATAATCATGAAACAAGAAGGCTGTACTAACGGTTCATGAATACTAGCCAATATACTTCCATAAGCTGTAACTTAAAGTTACAAGGCACTTTGTGCACTGTTGGTTGGGAAGTCTTTCAGTTTTATGTTTTTTTTTTTTTTTGGCATTTAAAATGCCAAGTGTTTGTGATAACTGTAGGAATTGCTGCAAAGATGTCACTGTAGGTGCACACTGTATAATTCTGGGTGTTAAAACACTGCTGGTGGAAATGAGGGATGGTCCCAACTTTTTGACTGAGGGCAAGGCCCCAACTTTTAGTGCTCCTATAATGCAGCATGGCATAAAGGATTGGTCTATTATAGGCTGATGCCTAATGGTCTCACAACTGGCTCCCCATTTGGAAAATCATTCTGCCAATGCTGGGTAAATGTCCAAAACTGTTTCCAACAAGTGAGAAAATCATTGCTTTGGTGTCACTTTAGCTACGCACTTTAAAGGTTTTTCATGAGAATTACAAATCCGAACCGGAAAAATATCTCATTTCCCATTAAGTGATTAGTATGAAAAGGGAAATTCTGGTAACTTGATGCTTAAGTACGTACTGGTAGTACTGATCGGAAGCCTCAGCCTAAGATGACAATTGTGCTCATTATACATTGGCATAGAGTTCATAAACCTCCTGAAAGAACCTGAATATGCCGACGTATTATGAAGATTGAAAATAAAATGAGACACAAAAGTCTATTTTGAAAAGAGCAGCGAGAAATACTTTAAAATAGCTTATGAGTCCAAAATTGTCATTCTTTTGTCATTTTGGGCAACATACTGCATGTAAAAATCAAATATTTAAAAATAATTTTTGTGTAATTCTTGTCCAGGTTGAAACATCTAACAAGTCTGTGTCTCGAAAGGTACAATGTATGAAGTTAAATTGGTAGGTGTAGCTTTAAATGTTGTTGGGATGCTTATGACTTACATGCCCTTATTGAGTGGCTTTAGTCTTGATCTGACTGCCTTGAAGTCTGGTCTCCGCTCTGGGACCTCATCCCAGCTCTCCTGCATGATATGAATGACACAGTCGGAACACTCCTCTATCTCATTCACATTAGGCCTGAAGGGCTGCGTGATGTCCAGTGGGTAGGTCACCCTGTCTACAATCTCTGCACATACATTGCGTGAGAGACAGCATGTTAAACACCATAAGAAATGTACATGTATGGTTCCCTGTGAGGGCACGCATACCATGACAGTTGTGTGCAAGTCTCTTTATTATCAGTTTTTATTGCTGATGAGGGTGCTGCATAGAGGTCGTAGTCTAGAGCCCAATTTCATGGCGCTGCTAAGCACGTGATTTCACACAAACAGAGGCTCCGTGTACAAATTTCATGAAGACCGTAAGCAGTAAGCACAGCATAAGACACACTTACTGGAGGGAAAGAAAATTGTTTAACACAGTGACAAAACTGTGGAAACTTCTATGAGTGCACAAGCACAACCACACCAATGCTGATATGATGTGCTCATGGGCATCTACCGGTGGGGGACGGGGGGACATGTCCCCCCATTTTTTTCAAGGGGGGGGGCACTATATCAATTGCCCCCCCTTCTTCCAAAACCTAAATATAAATGTATACTTTGCAAAAGCATTTGTTAAAGAGGCTGGCTAATCTGGCTAGTCAGACTTTGTCTCAGATCACACCACAAAGCACCTATACTCCAAAATTTTCCAGGGCCCTTCAGCGGGCCCTGGACCCTATGCAGCTCAGGGCTTTCTGCTTTGTGCTCACATTTGTTCTGATCAGGGCTATACCCCCCAATTTTCAAAACGGATTGATGCCCAGGGAAGTGCTATATGATTCCCTCAACTTTTTGTTATATAGTAAGCATGGATTTTCTATTAACAGTCGAACAGTGTCATGAATTTTCACCCAGGTGTGAGCAGTATTTCCGCTGAAAATGGAAGACATCATATGCCCGTGCAAAGCTAATCACTGATTCCAAAGCACACAAAGGCCTCAACATCAGGTGTCCCTTGAATCAGAATTATACATGTATTTGAAGCAGTGCTAGTCTTTCTCATATTTATACACTAGCCAAGAATCTTACCCCTTGGACTGAGTGGACAATTTCCATAAGGCCCATTGCGTAAAATGATCTCAAATAGAAGAATGCCAAAGGCATAGACATCTGCCTTCTGTGTTCCAAATGGGGGTGCACATGGATCTCGTAGCAGCTCAGGTGACTTCCATAGTAAGCCTGTTGACAACGCATCGATACAGGGTGTAAATATGTGTACAAGGAACACTGGAATAAATAGGCGAAGCTAACTTACCAGATGTTGGTAATTGTTAGTGTAAAAGTTGATCAACTGTCAGTTCCTAAAGATTTACCCAATGGTTGGACACCTTATGACCAGAAATAGGGAAGTTTTTATTAAAACCCATTTAGGGCAAAACCTTGACCAAAAAATGCCAACTTTTCATTTCCAGTGTGGACACTGTGCATAAGCAGTTTTGTGTCAAATTTGCATCAAATAAACAAGATGGAGCTATGAGCAAAATGGACGAGGGAACATTGGTTAGCTGAGGGTTATTTATTATTCTGTAAACCGCATTAGTTTGCTTAAAAATGACCCGGTGTTGTCACAAAGCCAGAGTCCCAGTTCCTATTGCAACTTATTTTGCTCTGACAACAGTGTGACCAACCTTGGTGGCTTGGGTAGCTTGGTGTGTGTGTGTGGGGGGGGGGGGCTGAGGAGATGTAATCCATGAATGTGACATCTGGGGTCATGTTAATGAGACATCAGGTAGATATTACTGTGTATTGGCAGGATACATCAGACACAAGTTGGCACTGTTTATGGTATCCTCTTTTGCTGACAGTTACTTCACACAAATTGTGTCCTCAGTGCAATCGACCATTATACATGTACAAATGAAAGCTAAGGACATCCTTCCATAGAAACAGTGGCAAACTAGCAAAGCATACTTTCATAGTAGGCATGCTCTCCCAATTCGGTCAGTTGCTGGTTGGGCCTGAAACGCCACAGTCCAAAGTCACAAATTTTGACTACCCATCTGCTGTCCACCAGGCAGTTTGATGACTTCAGGTTACCGTGTGTGTGGATTTCCGAGGAATGAAGGTACAGCATTCCCTGTATTTCCAAAGTACAGGTGAAAAATGAAAGCACAGTCACAATTTCTGTGGAGCCATTGTGGAGTAGTTAAAATTATCGTACAACAGACAACTGCAGTTCCTAGACTTTAGTGCTATGAGTCAAACAACTACTCAGCAAGCTCAGCAGGTGAACTGAGAGCAGCATGTCCCATGATGGGGCTGCTAAACTGAGAATCTGTCTTGCCCCCTGTCTTCTCTGGTTTTTATCTTCAATTTCCGACTCCACTAAACCCAACTACTCTCTGTAGAGCAGGGATGGGGAGGGAAAGAGAGAATCAGCCTCCTTTTTAAGGATCACTATGAAGCACTTTTTGTAGAGCTGCATGAGCCTTCATTACTTGTTTTGTTGAAGTCTTCCTCGTGTTATTTATGAGACAGGATTTTATATCAACCAAGTATCATTCTTGCTCAGTGTCCAGTGTGAATACACTCAAGCTGTGCAGAATTTTGGAAAAGCTTATGTATGAACAGTGAATTTCAAATGTCAATATCAGTAAAATAAAAACCCTTTGTTACATTTCATTGAAACTGCAAATGAACTAAACATGGATGTCTGAAATTCTAATCACAGTGTGATTAGAAGTTTTAAAAGGCCTGTTCCAAGGTTCTGCTGAAATTATGGATGGCTCTATTTACCTTTATGATATCTCCTACTATTGATGCCACAAACATGTTGTCTAGTTTTACCTCATCATTAGCAAGAATATCCTGTTGGAAGGAAAAGTCTATTTAATAGCATTTGGGTTAGGGGAGCCATTATAACAAGATAAAGGACAACATTGGTGATAACTCGTCAGTGCCTGTTGACTTCCTGAATTGCTGAAACTGAACCTTTCTGTTATAGCATAATCACTGTGGTTAGGTGAGAAAGAACACTTTCCATTTTAATAGAAATTTGTGTCATTGATGAAATCCAGGATCACCGCCAGTGCAAGCAGGGCAGGGGGACTGCTCCTCCCACAATTTGTTTGACTTGGGGTAATGCTAATGGTCTCACAAAACAACCCCCTCCCTTTGAAAATCATTCTCCTGCCGTTGGCCAGGACTCTGAGAAAGGAAACATACTTAAAGCACAGTTACTCACAAGCCTGAAAACCCAGGGAGAGATGAAAGATAAATGTTCAATTTATAATTGAGGTGGGAAGAAACTTGGAAATTATGCTTGAAGAAACCTGTAGAGAAGGTTAATTTAATGCAGGATAATCCCTGTGTCAGCCTGGGGAGGATTGAAACCCTCATGAAATCTTGTGTGTAAATTCTGAGAACAGACTCAGATCAAGCCCATTCAGTCACCTTTGAAACCATGTTTTGTCCTTATTTACAAATACATAACAGTGGCTGAAACAAAATAAATCTCTTTCTTATGGTCTGCATGCTGCTCAATTTTGCTGCGGCTAACCGGGCTCCATGCAAAAACATTAAGCTCAACCGTACTGACATTCGATATCTCATTGGTTAAATGGTAATGGACAAAAAAATACATACCTGCAAACTTCCTTTCTGACAGTATTCAGATATAATGCAAATGTTAGGTGAGTCTATACAGGCACCGATGAACTGATTCAAATGAGGATGTCGAATATCCCGCATCTGAGAATATAAGACGATAAAGGCAATATAGCTCTACAACTGATGTATTGCATTATATTTGAACACCTAGTTTGCATTCTTTGCATTGTAAACAGAAGTAGGCAAAACACAAACCATGTCATATGAAAACTAAATTTCCAGGAAACTCTTCACAGTCCTTTGTTGCTCTAGAAACTTACATGTAAACCCCAGTTATGCATTCCATTGCTCACAAATACTTGATCTTTATGTATCAGTTAAGTATCAGGTCATTTGGATTAGGAAGATGAATCTTAGAATAAATCTGGGAAGTTACCACATAAGAACTTACTATTTTCAGCTCTTTCTTCATGGAACGACTAACGTCAATGTGCTGCTTAAATATCTTCTTGACAGCTACCACAGCACCCTTGTAGTTGCCAACATTGGTGAAAATCTGACCCCTCAAGCCATCACCGGATGCCCGGCTTTCTGTTGTCATGATGCTCACCTGGAGTGTCATAAATAACAAATTAAAGGGATTTGAAATTTAAGCGGGACCAAGAGAGGGCGCAACTTTCCCAGCAATAGAGGCTCCTTTGGTTGGAGCTGCACTTTGCTGATTCACAACTACATGTACATGTAGCTATGAAATGCACGCTACCAACAAAATGAATGCCCCCCACCAACATGACTCTTTTTCAACCGATGAGGGGGAGGTACTGCACAAGGCGGCTACGGGGTTGAAATGTTAACTTAAAATGTATAATTACTGCGGTGGATGGCTACAGCAAGAAAGAATTTCTATGGTTAGTGTAGTTCTGAGCTGGCCATTCCTTTGCTGATACCCTTGTTCGGAACTTTTTCCTGCAGGGCAAACGTGTAAATTTAAGAGGTAAACAGGAATCTACAGCGTAATGGATATGACACCGATGAAACAGCTGTGAATCCTAAGGTAAGCCCTACCTTTTATTCTGCTGATCATCATTTTAAGGCCAAGAGTGGGAACATGGATTTTCCTTGTGGTGATACATGCACTTGATTAACTTAAAGTACTCACTGGTAACTTTGCAGATTATGTATCCCACAAATCATTCTGAGTGTCACCCTTGACTCTCAATGGCGTGCGTGAATGGGTTGCTTGTCTGGGGCACTATTTGTGTACAGAGTGGGCAAACATTTTTTATGGGTAGCTTATACAATTCAATTTGAACAGCTAATAAGTCAAGTAATTGGTAAAAATGTGACGTTTTTACGTACCCGGCTTCCCATCGTTGTTGTAGAACCATCCTGACCTTTGAACTTGATCTCATTGTAGTCAATCCTCCAGAGGAGACTTGCCAACTCTTGCTCGTACTTCCACACTCTGTTGGAGACACATGCAAACATTTTTATAATGCTTCCTCTAAAGGGCCTTTTACTCTTCTTCATGAGAATCAGTTACGCTGCTGTAGTCATGACTTTACATTTGAGCTGACTTAAAAAAGTTGTTGAAATACAGCGATTTCTTGGAAGAGTTTAAGTGCAGGGTAAACGTTTGTATATAGCATCTCCTACGAAATAATAATCGAACTACTGTTTTGTCAGAGTACGGTGATTGGTTCTAAAAATTTAGCTATTACAAAAATCGCTTTTTGTATAGTAATTTTGAAGTGGACCAAAGATCCCATGCTCAGTGGTCAGTCGGTCAATACTTAAATATTGATATGCTTGAAAATCTAACGTTTCCACCGGAGGGTAAAAAGAATCAGTTATCTGAGTGACACAAGAGCTAATCTTAAGGGAGGCTACAAAACGTATTAAGGATCCAAAATAGTTAAAATAACTGTGTTTGTTAACTAAATACTCAAAAGTACGGCGAGTAAACCGCCCTTTTCCTTGGTATAAATTGTCAGTCCTAAGCATGCACAGGTTACTGTTGTGAAGTGATGTGTGTGATGAAATATCTTTGAAGGTCACTGTCACGAAAGGCCATGACAATGGGCTTTCCCCTTTTAAGCAGTCGGAAAGTTACATATTTACCTGTGAATAGCGGCTGCAATGACAATGGCTATCAAAAGCATGCTGCCCACGACAATCCCGGCTATTTGTGCGGGCTGGAGGACTTCGTCCTTTGGTTGACAGTACTCACGGAAAAAGCCACACCTTGGCCGGTCTAGAGGTGGCTTGCCGCTCACCCAACTAATCTCTCTTTCCTTCCGAAGCTTCAAAGTCTGTGAGATATTAAAATGAATTCATCGGGAGGTTGGCCCAATTACAACATGGACGACAATTGCAGTAACAGAACTATACGACCCTGGGATCTGTTTTTGTCAATTGTCATACTCCTGGTCGTGGTCAAACTGTAGCTTTTGAAGTCAAGAAAGGCATGGTTAAGGGCGTTGACGGTAAACCGCTTGCAACTGCATAGACCTAGTAGTTGCAAATTTGTCCTGTTTCGGAACAGATGATTTTTGACGGAAAATGATGTTTAGCGATTTCCGGTTGAGTAGGATCATAGCCACAAAAGCGTTCGCGCATGTCTATGCTCCTTTTGGATGAAATGTTTAATTTCGATGTAGCCTACGGAGTGGACAAATGCGGGTTTATTTTGTCTTCGCGGGACGGAAATAATAGTGAACAAACACACTTGGTACATGTAAGGTGCACCACATTCACGTCATTAAAATAGGTTATTTTTATCCTGCAGAAAAACATTTTAGTCAAGAGAGGACAGGTTTCACAGACCATATTACTCACCAAATGTGTCTCGTTGTTTGACGCATTGTATTGGAAGTTACCAACACCCTGTATCTTGTAGTAGTAATCACCTTTACCCGCGGTTTTGTTTTGCTCCAGTGCATACAGAGAAACATTCATGAGAGCGTTTCCATTCTGGTCAATGGTACGCTGCATTCCCATTATACCTAGCATGGAAACGACAGAAAAGTTCAAATTTTTATCCAGAAAGTGCAAGTAGTATCGACACAATGACAATATTGTACTCTCCAGTCTACGCATGGTGTTGCGGTGATGATTTTCGAACTGTTGTAAAGGAAGCAGAATAATCACACAATTATTTTGCTGGATGTTTTGATCACATTTGAAGCAAGATATGGGACGGAGAGAACCCCCCCGGCCTTTGTGTTCGTCATTGTTTGATCGGAATCTCAGGAATTCTTTACAGAATTCTAGGGGGGATGTGTCAGGTAACAATTGTCTACATTGTGTATAGGATTGGACAGGCGTCCCATATCTTGCCTGGTATATTTGATCAAGCAGTGTTTAACACTGGTGTTTGTCCTATCACTCCGTATACACACAGACTGGGAAAATGATTCTCACTTTGATACGTTCCGCGATCGATTATCTCTCGGATGATCTCGACACCGTCGTCAACTTCACCCCCTTTGGCCAATGTAGAGTTCAGAGCATAAGCATACAGCATAACGGCATCATACAAAAATGGTGCCTCTTCACCAATCTGCAAGGGAAAATTAACGTACTAACGATAGCGGTAAAATGAAAACTTCTTCACAAAACCTTCTTTGCTTTAGGTTTTATTGGAATTAAGCACAAGCAAGGTCCATAAGCGTGTCCTACGTTATTTAGGTCAAACAATTCTGAAATACAGATTGCTCCCAAAGTTTTTTTTTCGGGGAACTAAAAGCACTAAGACCTGCGAATCAGGGTTGGTAATTTTACTTTTTCTAAAAAATCAGATTTTTCACGATTTAAATCACACTTTTTGATATAATCGTTTCTTTTTTACTTTTTTTAAAAATTGGACACAAGTCAGCTAGAATGATTCATTCCAAAGCAAGCAGATTAACTGCAAGTGTGTTAATTTTCTTTTCTTAAATTTGTTACAAAATGAAGCAAATTTGGGTTGGAATTAGCAATTTAAACCAAGTAATTTGATTAAAATCACAAACCACCTCAAATATTGTCTAAGCTCGGGTGAAATGCATGCAGTATAGCACCTGTTGGTACACACACCCGTACAGAAGACAGTCCCTTCGGAGACACAGTCACATAGAGTGCTTACGTGTGCCAGGTTTTAAACCGAACTCTAAGTTTTGACAAAACTAGAGTTCACAAGAATTTTGTCAACAAAGTACTCGCACCTAATAGCCAATGAGTGAAAAACATGCCATCAACCACATGTACATGTATTCATTTAACATGCGATACAGGTAAAGTATTTTGAACATACTTTACCACTCAGAAGTGGACACTTTAGATTCAGTGAATTATACAAATCGTGGTTATAAATCCTTTGCATGATTTTTACTGAATCCAAAAATCTGATTTATATCGCAACAAGTGGCCAGAATTGAAGTGTGACACGTGCATTCATACTTCTTAAAAAAACCAGGAACTGAAAGCCTCGCAGAGGGATTTGCTGTTTAAAATGTGAAAAAAATTACCAATTGGTTGAAAAACCAACCAACAACCAACCAACCGACCGACCAACCAACCAACCAACCAACCAACCAACAAACAAACAAACAAACAAACAAACAAACAAACAAACAAACAAACAAACAAACAAACACCCCAACAACCCAACAAACAAACAGTTTTTTTTTCCAAAAAATTAAACTGTTGATTTAAATCAGTGATTAAAAATTCATTTGATTTAAATCGCGATATAAATCGGTGATTTAAATCAGCCAACCCTGCTGCAAATCGGCACAATCATCATTTTCTGGGCAATCACAGTATTCACACCGACAAATTGTGCTTTTTTGTTATGGTTTTTGAACTCACCACCATGTCTTCAGTGCTGAAGTCGGTGAGATTACTGTTGAAGGGGGGCTCCTGTAGATACGTCATTATATCGTCTTTAAACTGATCGTACGTTTCGTCATCAGGCGGCGTATGGAACAATATCAACACGTTCCTGTAGTACGCCAGAACCTCCGGACTAAAAAAACGCGAGTACGGATCTGGATATCAAGACAAAAATTGGGGAGGATCCGATTTGATTGAATTCGTTTTCATCGTGACAACTGTTGTTTGTTTCTAGTCCCATCTCAGTTCTCCTAATATGTAATAACTCATTCAGTTGCGATTCAAGTAGTATTTCAGAGGGATTTCTCCAGCACCTGCTGCTCACTTAGTATCGCGCTCAATTTCTTTACCCATGGTTTGAAACGCAACTTTCTACAAATAAAAAATACCTGTTCCACAAAGGCAGCTTCTATTTATTACTAGTATTTTCTAACAAACTTTCTTCAGGCTGGATACACTTTCATCTTGGCAACCATCATCCAAATGTATTTCATACTACAAAATTCCCAAAGGGTCACGATGCCATGTATGTAATTTGTTAAAACGTTTGAACACGTGTTGCTTGAAGAATTAATTTCAAGGATTCGATGGAGCCGAAAACTGAATACACATTTGTCGTACCTCCTTCGAGTGCCAGGAAGTCAGATTCAGTCGGTATGTTCACGTTGATGTAAACAATAACGTACTCTCCATTGTCTAAGAGTCCAAACTCATCCATCGCTTGGCAAAAGTGGTACAGCTCAAATGGTTTCCCCATGAAGAGATAAACTGTTAGAGAAAAGTCACACCGGTTAAACATATTTCAGTGTCATAAAACTAGTAGGTCTAGATGCAATATCTGACCTAACCATGCTTTGAAAAAGAGCTTTTTGACTTTTTTGGCAGTTGGTGGGCGTGTTGTCGACTCTTCTATGGAATTTCAGTTTTCTCAATTCCATCACAAAGAAAAAGCAAGTTTTCAAAATTTCTCGTGATAATTATTGTAAAACCCATTTTGCTACGACATCGCTGTACGAAACATCGATTAGTAATGTATTCAACCCAACCATAAACCGATATAGAATTGTAATCACTGAAAGAAAATTACCTCGCGTTTCCTTGTACGTCCTTTCGACGATCTTCAAGAGTCTCATATCGTCCTCATCGAGATACTCCCGCCAGTAGTTAGCCGTGTACTGCTCACTGTGGGACACGTTAATGTTCAGCTTAGGAAGACGCATCTTAAGATTCTCCATCACGGATAGGTCCTTCTTCGTGTCAGAACTGACCAGGGAGACCACGCTCCAGTTGAAGTGACGAAGTAACTGCATGACGGAGATAGTTACTGCTGTGTCTGTGGAGATGGTCCTCACGAACGTCTTGTAAACATCTTTGTCGCTGACCTCATAAGCTGTGCATTTCTGTGACACAAGGATGAAAAAAGGGATGTACAGTAAGTGAGACTTACTTGTCATGTTTGAAGCTAAGTTTACACTTTAAGAGAATGAGTTCAACCCCCCCCCTGCTTCCAGTAACGCCACACTGAAAGTCAGGTACAGGGGTGAATGTTAATTCTGTAGGACGCCCTCTTGTGCCGTGTTTAATTCATATAAACTTTGCATTCGTCAGTTCAGTGTCTAGAACAGCGTTACATTTCTGACTTCAAAATCTTGACGGTCACAAGTGAACAACCACATTCTTTAACTATACAGTGATTTTTCCCTTTGTGTCTGTACGAACCGATTGTCGCCTTATCGTACGGATTTAATTCGTCGAATGGAAACGGCTATATTTTGTGCTTTCTAAAGATGTGGTGAATGTGCATTAAGCCTAAAGTTTCTTTTTCGGTTTGGGCTGGTATGTCATTGTGTCTTCCGTTGGTCATTCCACTGTCGTTGCGTTGGTCAGCAGAATGAACATGGCGGATTATCTTTCACCTGGTATCGATCGTGAGGGTAATGCTTGCTTTTCCGCAACGTACGGCTCTTTTACTGTTGACTTTGTGAATATGGTAAATTTGTAAATTAGAATCATGCGTTTCTTCTTCAATTGTTCATGTTGTATCGACTTTGTTCACTACAGACTTCTGCCCAAACGAGCAGTCACGTATTACAATCGCGCACAAATCGAGCACTTTGTCTTCAAATTTGAAGAGTAATTTGAAGACAGAGGTAAAGTTGCAGCGCAAGAAACTCGGCAAAAAGGCGGCTGGTCATGGAAGGTTAAGGTAGTGAGCATTAGTCATGCCATGCAATGCAAAGCCAAGTTTGTAATCTAATAGGCTCACGCATGTTGATTATCGTCACTCAACATTAATATGGGGATGCGCGGCAACCAGTAGTCATATTCGTCGTCAAACATCAGCTAAAAGCACTTAGTCATTTTGCCGCCCCCCGCCTGCTCTTGCTTGCGGTGGAATTTGACGTGAACACTCGCGATGCATTGGCCCTTAATGGTAATGACAACATTGTTGATAATACCTGTTGAACATCTACCTTTGGAATCAATCTGGCTCGTCCCCATTCTATGAATATTAATATCGATCAACATATTTCGTGGGCAGCACTCGGGTACCAGTCTGCACAGTTGTTGTTATGATGATATACATTAACTGCCTGGCGTCCATAATGATTAATTTTGTGCCGCGAACCGTGAGCCCCTGTCGCTGAAAACAATTGAGAAAGGCACAGGGTTTAGATTTTCTAGTGCCAATAACGCCAACAGTGGCATAGAATTAAGATCTAAAGAAAAATATAAAAAGAATTAATTTAATCAAATACAGTAATAATTAAAGCGATAAAATATAAAATAAAACACAATTTGGAATGTAAAGTAAATTGAAGAGTGCAACTGCATTGGGTTACCTGTTCCAGATTAATTATAAAAATCAGTGTAGCAGCTCTATTTACAAATAGCTCATTTAGGAGACATTTTGTGGTAATTTTTTCAGCATTAGGGAGACATTGGCTTTAAGGGAGACATTTCAGTGTTTCCCTATTTTCAAACTACCAGAAGGAGGCCGAATTTTTTGATAGATGATAGATTAGGGGCTAATATGAAAACATACAAAGTTTGGTTCAGATCAGATTAGGGAATATAGAATAATGGGACAGTAAAGTTGGAAAAAATTGTGCACGTTCTTATGGCAAGGTCTCCCTAATGAATCATTAGCGGTAATTATTATTTATCTTCGGTGCAGATGTCGAAAAAAAGTCAAAACATCGCGAAAATGTAATAAGCCATACAAACATATGAGAGGATAGGCTCACGTCAAGTGGTAGGAAGTCAAGCGGAGAACCAAGAAAGGAAAAGAAGGATACCCATCGAATTATATATATAGGAAGGGAAAAGAGTCATTTCCATTTCCTTGATTTTTTTGTAATGTGCTGGTGCAGATGAAAGTCAACAAATCGACGTAGTAAATGACGGGTGTATAAATTTCATGGTGCGACCGAAAAATGACTCTTTAGGAAGCAATCTAAAAAGACAAATCGAAATCATTTTCATATTTTGTCAAACTATACCTTTTCTAACGTGTTACAAGCTGTACAGTTTTCTTCTCTAATGCGTCTGAGTCAGTCTTTATCAGTTAAGAACTCGAGTGTGGTGCATATCGCGCGCATTGGAAAGGTGGTATGTGGCGATTTTCCAGGTAGCAAATGAATTTGTCATACGATTTTTGTGCTGTTAAGTGTGTCTGTACAATGCCTTACTTGGAAATCTACGGGTAGAATAGATATCCAAGGTTACAAAAATATATAGTTTAGTGTCTCTTCAAGTTTCTTTCATCCACCAAAGTCTTTATCTTCCAGATGAACGGTTGAACATGGAAGATCTCTGGAGATAAATACCGGAACGATAATATCGATGTGGCATGCAGAGCTGTGTGTGTATACTCTTGGTCGGTGCTGTTTGCTTTCTGACGTTCATTAATGGACGGGCGTTGTTTGATTAAAATTCCCCGCGGTACCCCTCACTGAAGATCAAAGTTGCACGGGCGTGCCGAGCTGGTTGTCGTCCCTTCCAAAAACAGGCCGTATTCCAAAGTATTGATGCAATTCGGCACGCAACGCGGGGTCGGGTCTAATTGTTTAACCAGTGTTTATGAACCGTGCGGGGAATCCTGAAATGTCTTAAGGCCGCGAGATGCGCCCTTAATGCCGGAATTTATGACTGCTTCAAAACGTAAATGGGTAGGTAAAAGAATTCTGGAATGTGAAATAGGGCATAATGTAACTTGGGCGAACAGGGGGTTTAAAGGGTAAATTAATTCCGTGGGGAATAATGTAACTTTTTGGATAAGGATTGTAAACCATCTTTGCTTTGCGATTTATGGCAGAGAATGAAACTAACTCTAAGGACACATTACCGGGCTTTTAGAGCTCCCTTTCAAATCGTAAGACGGACATAAACGATATCTTTGTACTTTTATATACTTTCAAAAGGGTTGTATATCCAACTAAGTACATGTGCATTAATTCCATTTCCATTTCACAGCGTATTTATACGTCAGTTATAACTCGGTATCAATTACTCATTCAGAAATGATTGAATATTTTCTCCATTAAGTCCAGCATCAACATGTACGCTCTCCGTTAAACCTCAGAAGCGGGCGCTTATCTGGTGGGGAGCAAGGTTCAAAACCCACAACTTCCCGCCCTTTAATGAGATCACAACCATAAAGAATGAAACTTTATCCGGAGCGGCACAGGGAATCACGAGGGAACAGGACACTGAGCTTGCCAATAGGGACCAAGAAAAAAAATTATCGTTAAGAATGAAAAACAACCTTTAATGGAAATTGCCTCTTCCGTGGGACACGAAGGAGCCAGGCGAAACGGGTTGATATCGACGAAAAGTCGGGCGGGGAAACGATATACGATCAGCCCTGTCAAATTAGACACGATCAGGAAGTATCAGCGCTGCCTGGAACATAAGGCAGGGAAGCACCGGTCAATACCTGAGGCCAGGGGTTCGATGTGAATAGACTGCGTACGATATCGCGGTGTTGGCACAATGCTTTGGTACGGACACTTGTCGGGCCGGTGCAGCTCGTGTCCTCTACGACGTTACAGTTGAAAAGCAAGCCTCCGCGGGGATGAATGGCTCAACGATACGCGACCCGAAGACGCAATGGCACGTCCATAGTTTAAATGTTTAGGCCGGTGATCGCGGGTTCACTACTCCCTTTCACGGTGAAGATCCAACGTCTTCACCGTTATATTCAGTGGTCAACGGAGACCTAAGCGTTCGGAATGTAGTATAGCTTTAATGACTTAAGGGATTTTGTGGCAACGAATTCCTCACAACACATGTAAGGAAAGCAGTCACTGAAAAAGGGCTTTGTATCGATTCTCACTTGTATCTGCCTAACATAGCCGCCCACACATCCTCCGAATTGGCGAAGAAATAGAGCGCACAAGTTGATGTAACTTGGGGTGCATGGACTCACCATTGGTAAACAGACTATAAAAACAACTAAACATTGACGCAAAGTTCAATTACTTCAGCGGATCCATGAAGTAAATTGTTCATGGACGTGATGAGAAAGCCGTAGAGACAAATGCAGTTGCCTTCATGAGTCCTTCAAAAACTGTGGACAAAATCATCATCGTGTTTCAAGTGTGCCGCCGGGTGTAAACATCAGATACTCCCATTCCTATTTGGTCGTGTAATTGTCAAACATAGCGGATGGCAAGTCCTCGAGTTTGGACAGACGACGCGAGCATTATAGCCGTCGTCGAGTGGAAAGCGTTGAACGTGTTTGCTGTTCCCCTCCATAGATACTTCGCAAGTAGACAAACCAAAGAAGAGTTCTAAACGTGAGGACGTTTCCCGTTATTCATTTCAAAGTACTTTGATAATCTCGCGCTTGTTAAGTTGGGGGAAGTCTTTGAAGTTTTTGTTTGTAAAGGTAATTTGAACACCATGGATCAAAACGGTTTCTTCGGCGATATTAATACAAGAGAAGCATTTGGCTTAGTTCTATACTGGTATTATAGGTTATGAGCAAAGGTGGAAAATATTTGTATCCACCAGACGACTAGTGGGTGTGAACACAAAACTGATACCAAGGCGGCAAGATTATCAACCACGCGTATAACAGGGAAATATAGTCTGCTCCTCCAGACCCCGCAACTTCAGATGTGGTCCTTTATCGCTGAATCATCCGGGAGGACAGACAGCAAGCTCTTTTGTTCAATTCAATCAATCCCATGTCCAGTGTCCACCTGTAGGAGACTCTGCAAATAACTGCAGCGCCATAGAAACGCGCGTGGCGATTCTCTTCTTGATAATTTTCCAGGCCCCCGGAAATCCATTAATTCTGCCAGGGTCAAGTGTGGGGGCCTCTTTTGTCGGTAGTCCAGGGTGTCCGCGCCGTTCAAGGGAAGACCGCTGTTCAATCTCGCAAAAAGCCATC